GAGAATTTGTGAAAGGGAATGAAGCAATGCAAAAAATATGGGTAGATCACGTGATAATGATTGGGGGGGGGGGGGGGGGCAATGCGGGGCATTGGATGGTGGAGGGATGTCGCAGACGAAAGTAAATAAGATTTTGGAGTCGCGGAAGTGAACAGGTGAACAGCGGGCGGTTGAGGAGGGGGATCGGTAAACCCGGCGTGTTCCGGCACAAATTAAGCCCTGGCAGCCAAACTCAAGTGTCATTCAAAACTGGCTACTTTAAAGGGACCTTCAAAAGAATTTCAAAGGGTACAACTGTTGAACACTTACAGCCCCTTACACTTACTTAATGATTAGGCATTAGTGATGGACAAGAGTAATAACAAGAATATAATTAAAAGAAAAGAAGCACAACTGACTTACAGCAATAATCTTCCAGTATAAATCTAAGTAAAATTGACCTAAATTTGACCTAAAAAAGAACTTCACATCCAGCCATTACAACACAGGTGTCAAACTCAGTCCTGGAGGGCCACAGCTCTGCACAGTTTAGCTTTAAACCTAATCAAGCTCTTTGTAAGACATACTAGAATCTTCTGGGAGGTGTGTCGTAGCAAGTTGGAACTAAACGCTACAAGACACCTGCCCTCCAGGACTAGGTTTGGGCATCCCGGCTCTAAGCGTTGGACAAAATGTTATGAGAATAAAGGTGCTAAGACATCTCTGACATTGAGCAAGTTTTGAGTTCAGTCACTGTGACAGATTATGCGATTTTTGTGTTGTGGGTGCTAAACATGGACGACTACACATTGCTTCATAAATAATCATCACATGATGTCTACCAGAAGTAGATGGTGAAGTATTAAAGCCTGATTTATACTTCTGCGTCAAGTGCACGCGTATGCTACGGTGAAGCCTACGCGTTGACGCATAGCCCTACGCCGTGGCTGACGTGCACCTCTCAAAAAATGTAACTACACGCCGCAACAACGCGTAGCGCAAGCTCTGTGATTGGTCGGCTTGGTAGAGATGACAAGTCTGAGCGGGACTGAAAGCCGCGTGTGCGGCACGAGCCTGAAGGAGCGATTGTTTACAAGTGTGGAGTCCCGTGAAGGAGCTCCGGATGGAAAGTTTTGTTTTGTGTTTACCTCATAGTTAAAGTTGTTGCACTTCCGCCGGTTCCTGCCTCAAAATGAGCGAGTTTGAGCCACTTGTACATTCAGGAAGCGTTCAGAAAAAAAACAAAACAGCAGCGACACAGCGAAACTCGACACAGAGGAACATTTACACCTCACTGCCAACTAACGTTTCGGAAGTGTTAATGCAGACCAACAGTGACAGCGCGCAGAAGTATAAATGCACAGCTACGCGCGTTGCATGCGCCGTGGGTTACGCTGGTCACTTGACGCAGAAGTATAACCCAGGCTTAAGAGTCCTCATAAACCACAATGTGTGTTTCTGGGTTTGTGTATTTGTGGGTGCACATACATCTTCGTGGTCCTGGCCTAATCCTGAACTCCCCTCCATGATCCACACTGTAGAACACACACATTGTCACACCCAGTAAGTAAACGCCACCAATGGTTTTGAAAATAAGATTATCAAAGTCAAATTTCAAAACTAGTAACTAGCATTTGATGCTAATTATTAAATGTTAAAAATGCAAGGAACATTCCGGCAAGCACTTAAGTTGCTAGAGTAATACTAGCACCAGGGTTGCCAACTTTCAACTTTTCATTGGAATGCCTGATTAGATATCAAGCCAAATAACAAGACAATGCAAAGGCAAACAATATTGAAGACCAAAAAAACACTTCAGGAGATACATTAAATCACAGAACACACAGAGAGATACAGGAGAGTTTTCCTGCTGAACATACTTGAGTTTCTCCAGAATGTAGTTTGGATCCTCCAGTTTTTCAGAGAGCAGCCTGACTCCTGAATCTCCTGGATGGTTGTAGCTCAGATCCAGCTCTCTCAGGTGTGAGGGGTTTAAACTCAGAGCTGAAGACAGAAAACCACAGCCTTCCTCTGTCACCATACAGCCAGACAACCTACAAACACAGCAGTGTATTAATTATGGCATTAGGTTTAATGCTTAAACCAGACCCTAGCTGGGGCATGCTACATAAGTGCCTAACATGGATTAGGAAGTACTCTTCATGGGCTAGTAGTACTGCATATGAATAACCAAACTTCACAACTGATCAAATATTTATATTACTGTGTAAAAGACAGGTAAACACAAACTCGGTCCTGGAGGGCCGGTGTTCTGCATATTTTCGTTCCAACCCTAATTAAACACACCTAAAAACAGCTAATCAAGCTCTTTTAAGGTATACTAGAAACTTCCAGGCAGGTGTGTTGAAGTTGGAGCTAAACTATGCAGGACACCGACCCTCCATGTCCGAGTTTGGACAACCCTGTTCAAGACTTTCATTCAGAGCAGAACCCACATTTTGCAACGTACTGTTACAGCCGGTTACTATTTAAGAGGAAAAACCCTTTACCCGAGTATCTCCAGATGACAGTTTGGACTCTTCAGTCCTTGAGAAAGCAGCTTCACTCCTGAATCCTGCAGGTCATTGTTACTCAGGTCCAGCTCTCTCAGGTAACAGTTTGAGGATTGTAGAGTTAAAGACAAGCTTTTACAGGACTGTACAGGGAGATTACAGAACTGTAGCCTGTGGGGAGAACAAACCATCTTTCCATTGATTTATACTTTGTTAAGATTGGACAATTTATGGCTGTGATACAGTTATTTGAAAAAAAAATCTAAACATTGAGAAATGTTTGTCTATTCCCAAACAATACAGTACAGTGCAACAGGACTTGTTGCCCAGGTCACAATTATGCTTAAGGGTGCTTTCACACTAGCACTTTTGGTCCGCATCTGAGTTCATTTGACGTCAGAGTACGATACGTTCAGCTAGTATAGACGTGTCTTCCGAACCTAGGTGTTCACCCATGAACCAAAACGAGTCCGCCTAAAAGAGGTGCTCTGGGCTATAATTCATGCAAACTTTAGTCCGATTCACTTCAGGTATAAATGCAATCGTACCAAATAACAACAATACAACAGTACAACAAACTATCTAATATATATATATATAATCTATACCTGTTTTCATAACGTTCATTTGCGTTTGTACGTGTCTATGTATCACGTACTGTTCCTTGGTGACAAGCGGGACTGAGCTAGGGCAAACACAATGATAATGTCTGCTTGAACGTTTATAATATTTTTCGCTTTCTGTATGTCCGAAGCCAAAAGATTCAGTAATGGCAAAACGGCCGGGATGTGCAAACGTCGTTCCATTTTGGTGCTTTGCTTTCGTGTCCGTCACCTAACAATAGCCGTACATACAAAAGAAGCTTGATGATGCAAACGTACCGGGGTTGAGAAGGAAAAATACAGTGTGAACACAAACCAACCAAGAAGGTGGCAAGGGAGGACAAATTAACTTGGGTTCGATCCAGACACTTGAACCAAGTGTGAAAGCACCCTAAAACACACTGTTGCTGTGTAATGATTTGAGTGCTACTCACTGAGCTGATCTGGATTCTTTTAACACAGGCATCAACTTCTCAAGAACTTCATCTGCTGCATGTTGTTCTCCGATAAACTCTTTCAGATCAAAAACATCCATCTTCTGCTCTGACGTCAGCAACACATAAATCAGAGCTGACCATTGAGAGGAGGAGAGTTTGGTTTTTCCGATTTGTCCAGACTGCAGATGATGTTGGATCTCCTGCATCAGGGAATCATCGCCCAGTTCGTTCAAGCAGTGGAACAGATTGATGGATTTCTCTGAAGATCGATACTCCCTGATCTTTAGTTTGATGAATTGAAGCGTTTCCTCTTTGTTGTAGGAAGAACTTCCTGTCTTTGAGAGTAGTTCTTGAAAGATGGTCTGATTGGTCTTAAGTGAGAGTCCCAAAAGGAAGCGCAGAAAAAGATCCAGATGTCCGTTTCTGCTCTCTAACGCTTCAACTGTTGCTCTCTGATGCAGCTGAGATAATGAATTGTACTTCTTCAGGGGTAAGATCTTAGACAACAGGCTTCTTTTGGTTTGGTCAAACGCATTTTTGTTCTTTGACGTAAAGAAGACGTGGGCATATAAAGCTGCTAGATGCTCCTGAAGGCTCAGATGAACAAAGCAGAAAACCTTCCCCTGACACAACCCCAACTCTTCCCTAAAGATCTGTGTGCACAACCCTGAGTACACTGACGCTTCTTCGACATCAATGCCACACTCTCTCAGGTCCTCCTCATAGAAGATCAGGTTGCCCTTCATGAGTTGCAAGAAAGCGAGGTTCCCTAATTTGAGAATCATGTCCTCGTCCTTCACGTTCCTCTTGTAGTCCTTTTCGTGTCTGCTGTTAGTCTGATTGATCAGGAAGTGTGTGTACATTTGAGTGAGAGTCTTGGGAATCTCTGCACTTTTAGCCGCACTCATCATCCTCTCCAGAACAGTGGCTGAGATCCAGCAAAACACTGGGATGTGGCACATGATGTAGAGGCTCCTGGAGGACTTCAGATGCGAGATGATTTTATCGGCAAGACTCTGCTCACCGATCCTCTTCCTGAAGTACTCCTCTTTCTGAGGGTCCGTTGAAGCCTCGTACTTCTGTCACTCGATGAACAAACTCTGAGGGAATGAGATCTGCTGCCGCTGGTCTGGAGGTGATCCAGATCAGAGAGGAGGGCAGCAGATTCCCCACAATGAGATTTGTCAGAAGTACGTCAACCGAGGCTGATTCAGCTATGTTAAACAGTTTAGTGTCACTCGGTTTAAAGTCGAGAGTCAGACGACATTCATCAAGACCATCGAAGATGAACAATACTTTACAATCATCACCAGAAATGTCAATTTCTTTAGTTTCAGGGAAGAAAACATGAATAAGATTTAAGAGACTGACATTTCTGCCCTTCATCAAGTTGAACTCTCTGAAAGGAAGTGGAATTATGAGCTGGATGTCCTGATTTTCTTTCCCTTCAGCCCAATCCAGGATGAACTTCTGCACGGATACTGTTTTTCCAATGCCGGCGACTCCCTTCGTCAGCACAGCCCTGATGCGATTGTCTTGTCCAAGTAAAGGTGTAAAGATGTCTCTGCATTGGATTGGTGTCTCCTCTGTTGTTGATCTCCTGGATTGTGCCTCAATCTGTCTGACCTCATGCTCGTTGTTGATCTCTCCACTTTGACTCTCTGTGATGTAGAGCTCTGTGTAGATCTCGTTCAGGAGCGTTGGGTTTCCTTGCTTTGCCGTGTTTTCATTCAGGCACTGAAACCTCCTCGTCAGATTTGATTTCAATTTGTTGAGGACTTCATTGCTGAACAGTAAGAGTTTTTAGTTAGGGTAACGTATTCTGCATCATCGCATCTTTTACATAATCATTGTACCTGAGACAAGGTGGTGTTTCTCGACTCTTCAAGTTTGCTGGTTCGAAGCAAAGCTCTGGATCTGGTATATTCTGATGATCTGAGCTAAAACAGACAGAGCTTAAAGGTATTTTTTTAAGTAAACATCAGATAAAAACCACAAACAGCAAAAGCATTAGAATGTCCAGTTTCTTGTAGAACATGCTCGATAAAATAAAGTGCTACTCTATGATTGTATTTTGTACAGAAATGTTTAACCTAAGACCAGGTTGTGGATGTCCACTCCCGAATTTTATTGGCAGACCCATAGAGTTGTCACTCTTCAAAGACACACAGCTGGGCTCTGGTTCTGATGTATTCGGGTGAACGGAGCTAAAACAGACAGAGATTAAAGGTCTATTATTCAAGTTATATTTAGCAAATACCTCATTTACATTTACCAGCCACTTTACTAGGTACACCTTACTAGTACCAGGTTGGACCCGCTCTTGCCTTCAGAACTGCCTTAATCCTTCGAGGCACAGATTCAACAAGGTACTGGAAATATTCCTCAGAGATTTTGCTCCATATTGACATGATAGCATCATTTGTCAGCTGCACATCAATGATGTGAATCTCCCTTTCCACCACATCCCAAAAGTGCTCTATTGGATTGAGATCTGGTGAATGTGGAGGCCATTTGAGTACAGTGAACTCATTGTCATGTTCAAGTAACCAGTCTGAGATGATTTGCGCTTTATAACATGGTGCGTTATCCTGCTGGAAGTAGCCATCAGAAGATGGGTACACTGTGGTCATAAAGAAATGGACATGGTCAGCAACAATACTCAAGTAGGCTGTGGCGTTGTTGACATGATGCTCAATTGGCACTAATGGGCCCAAAATGTGTTGGGAAAATATCCCCCACACCATTACACCACCTCCACCTGCCTGAACCGTTGATACAAGGCAGGATGGATCCATGCTTTCATGTTGTTGATGTCAAATTCTGACCCTACCATCCGAATGTCACAGCAGAAATCGAGACTCAGACCAGGCAATGTTTTTCCAATCTTTTATTTTATTTACTGCTGTAGCCCATCTGCCTCAAGGTTGGACGTGTTGTGCATTCATAGATGCTCTTCTACATACCTCAGGTGTAACGAGTGGTTATTTGAGTTACTGTTGCCTTTCAGTTAGAACCAGTCTGGCCATTCTCCTCTGACCACTGCCATCAACAAGGCATTTGCTCCCACATAACTGACGCTCACTGGATTCCAGTAGGAAAATCCCAGTAGTGGCTAGTATTGAGAAATACTCAGACCAGCCTGTCTGACATCAACAACCATGCCACGTTCAAAGTCTCTTAAATCCCGTTTCTTCTTTCTTCCCCATTCTGATGTTCGGTTTGAACTGCAGCAGATTATCTTGACCATTTCTAGGTGCCTAAGTTGCTGCCATGTGATTGGCTGATTAGAAATTTGCATTAACGAGCAGTTGGACAGGTGTGCCTAATAAAGTGGCCTGTGAGTGTATATTACAACATCAGATAAAGGTCATATCTTGTAGAACACGATAATATAAAATGCCCTTCTACTATTGTATTTTGTAAATAGATATTTAACCTGGAACCAGGTTGTGGATCTCCACTCCCGAATTGAATCGGTAGACCCATGGAGTTGTTGCTCTTCAAAGACACACAGCTGGGCTCTGGTTCTGCTCTATTCGGGTGAACTGTGCTAAAACAGACAGAGGTTAAAGGTCTCTTATTCAAGTAATAAATATTTTGCAAATACTCCATGTATATTACAACTTCAGATAAAGCAGGGGGTGCCCAAACTCGTTCCAGGAGGGCTGGTGTCCTGCATAGTTTAGCTCCAATTTGCTTCGGCACACCTGCCAAGAAGTTTCTAGTACACCTAGAAAGAGCTTGATTTGCTGGTTCAGGTGTGTTTAATTGGAGTTGGAACTACAATATGTTGGACACCGGCCCTCCAGGACCTAGTTTGTGCACCCCTGAGATAAAGATAAAGGCCACAAACAACAAAAACATTAGAATTTCCAATATCCTGTAGAACAGGGCTGCTCAACCCTGTTCCTGGAGATCGACCTTCCAGCAGATTTCAGTTGCAACCCATATCAAACACACCTGCCTGTAATTATCAAGTGCTGTTCAGGTCCTAATTGATTCAGGTGTGTTTGATCAGGGTTGGAGCTGAAATTTGCAAGAAGGTCGATCTCCGGGAGCAGGGTTGAGCAGCCCCTCGTGTAGAACATACATGCTCGTATAAAATGCCACTCCATGATTGTATTTGTATAGAAATGTTAAACCTGAGGCTAGGTTGTGCATCTCCACTCCCGAATTTTATTGGCAGACCCATAGAGTTGTCGCTCTTCATAGACACACAGCTGGGCTCTGGTTCGGCTCTATTCTGATGATCTGAGCTACAACAGACAGATTTATTTATTGCCAAACAACATAGTTGTCTGGAATGTCATTGGCAAGCTTAGACAAACACATTTGTACATACCAACGTAAATATATAAGTTCTTACCCACATAGCAAAATTTCTTTGGCCCAGCTCTGGCCCACACATCAGGTTTTGCTTGGCCCACATGCCGCAGTGAATTCCGGTACATGACTGGACCAAATTTGGCTTCCAGACAAGGGCCAAACACAGACCATATCTGGGCCAAGTCTCAGCCAAGTTAATAACTCATAACTGGGCCTGAACTGGGCCAGATAGGTTGGTGTGTCACGATTGCAATGAAATTGATAAACCCATGGAGTGATGCGCTTTAGGCACACTATGGGCACGCTTTTTCTCAAAGTGACCTGATTGGTAGAATTTTTTTTCTTTACTCAAAAATGATTTTAGTGTATTTTAGATGTGGGTCAAGACTGGCCAAACTCATGGCCCACTTATCAAATTTTTAAATCTGGGCCAAATACTATGTTTTTCATCTGGCCCAAATCTTGTGTGCCGCCTTAAAAACGGTGCCACCTCTGCCAAACCCGGGCCATGTTTGGCCCACATGCTGTATGCCAGTGCCGGATGAATGCCTGCTGTGCCAGCTTTTTGCCAAATCTGGGCCAGAATTCTTTGCTACTAGGGTACAATCATTAGAAAATACAGATACTGAAAAATACAGCTTAAACCAGCCTAGGATAGTTGGTTGGTTTTAGCTGGTCGACCAGACCAATTTTAGAGGGGTTTTGGCCATTTCCAGGCTGGTTTCCAGCCATATCCAGCCTGGTCTTAGCTGGTCATGCTGGGAGATGACCAGCTTAAACCAGCTTGACAAGCCTAGCCAGGCTGGAGCCCAGCCAAAACCAGATATGTCCAGCTTAAAACAGGCTGGTCAAGTTTGTTTTAGCTGGACATTTTCCAGCCTGACCAGCTAAAACCAGGCTGGAAATAGTTGGAAACCAGCCTGGAAATGGCAAAAACCCCTCTAAAACCATCCTAGGCTGGTTTAAGCTGGATTTTTCAGCAGGGACAGTAGTGCCAGAAGAGTTTAAAACATTAACCATCCTACAGTAGGTACTGTTCAACAAGCGTGCAGTCTTAAGCCGCCTTTCCACGTCACATGCCACTCTATGATTGCATATAAATATTTAACCTGAGGCCAGGTTGTGCATCTCCACTCCCAAATTGTATTGGTAGACCCATGGAGTTGTCACTCTTCATAGACACACAGCTGGACTCCGGTTCTGATCTTTTCCAATGATCTGAGCTAAAACAAAACAGATATTGATGATGTTATGAGTAGTGGCTATTTAAAGAAAGAAAATCAAGAAGTTTGACAAAGACAACACAAGCCCTAAAGCAGGGGTTCTCAATCTCGGTCCTGGAGGTCCAGGCTGTGTCCGAAACTGCATACTTCCGTACTATACAGTACGCTAAAATCACTATGCAAGCCGAGTAGAATGTCTGAATTCATAGAATTCGAAAATCAGTATGCGAGAAGTACCCGGATGACTTACTACTTCCGGCGAGAGAATTCATTAATAAGAGTGAAGCAACGCAACTGATGCAGGTAGGTCACATGACCATGACAAAATAGCGGATGTAGTATGTCCGAATTCCATTCATACTGTATAGAACAGTGGTTCTCAACTGGTTTGGCCATTTGACCCACATTTTTACATGGTCATCAAGCCGCGACCCAAATTTTTAGGAACTATAATACAATTTTAGGAATTATACTTAATTTGTATTTATTTGTTAACATAAACAAGTAGTGACAGATACATCATAAGCAATTCACCAAGACAAATAAACAATATTTTATTGCTGTCATTTAACAAAATGGATCAAATTATAGAAATATTACAAAGTAAAAACGACAAATACAGTTAATAATAAACTGTTAACAAAACTGTTTAAAAAAATGTTGTTTTAATTTAGAAGGTTTCATGCTCTCTACATATGACACTGAGGCTGCGTCCGAAACCGCATACTTCCGTACTATGTAGTACGCCAAAATCAGTATGCGAGCCGAGTAGTATGTCCGAATACATAGAATTCGTAAATCAGTATGCGAGAAGTACCCGGATGACTTCCAGCGAAATTCTGGAGTGTGCATCCCATGCACGCTGCGCTATCCCTTGATGCCCCGCGAGCGAATTCATGAATGGGAGTGAAGCGACGCAAATTACGCAGGTAGGTCGCGTGACCATGACAAAATGGCGGATGTAGTACGTCCGAATTCCATTCATACTTTTCACATTCATATTGTATAGAACGTACTTTTATAACGGCCGAGTAGTATGTTTGAATTCAAATACAGTACCTACTGAGTAGTATTGCGCACGCATTTCAAAATAAAAGTCCGGTATGAGCAAAATAAGTACAAAGTGTAACTTTTGTTGTTGTTTTTTGACCACACACACAGGCCCGTGCAGAGAGACTGTCCATGTGCATGAATAAATTTTTGAAGGGGGGGTGGTGGTGGGGGTGGTGGGGGTGGTGGTGGTGGTGGTGGTGGTGGTGGTGGTGTCGCGCGCGCGCGCGCGTACTCAAGAGCGGTGTTGTCGCGCGCCTACTGAAGGTCAGGACTGAGGGTGTGTCGCATCGCGGGGGCACTTTTGATAATTTTGGAAGGGCACTTTCTATCCAAGACTAAAAAGGGCATGTGCAGTGCACAGGTTGAGCCCTATGTGTGCACGTGCCTGCACACACACATGACCCACTGAAAATGTTCCCCCACCAGTTGAGAAACACTGGTATAGAACATACTTTTCTAACGGCTGAGTAGTACGTTTAAATTCAAATGCAGTACCTACTGAGTAGGAGGTGGTTTCGGATGCAGCCCCAGTGTCCTGCAGGTTTTAGTTCAGACACATCTGGACTAGCTAATCAAGCTCCTTAAGCTACAGTCACACTTGACTTTTCTCCCCATAGACTTCCATTCATACGCATGCAAATGCGTCAGACTGGAAACGCAAGGTTATGCTACAAGTTTTACAGGTCGCTGCGGTGCAAAGTTCAAGCTTGGTGAACTTTGACCTGCGAAATCGCATCACTTGACTGCGTGAGACCAATCGAGGATCAAAACATCAGCTCTCCGAACAGGAATTTGAAACATGGAGCAATCGCTCGCTTTTTTTAAATTTTCTAGTAATCTTGTTTAATCCTGCCTCTTTTCGCAGCGCTGCACAACAGAATTTCGCATTATCAAACTCTAGTGTGACCGAAGCTTTACTAGGCTTTCTGGAAACATAGTTGCAGGTGTGTTGGAGTTAAAATCTGCAGGACCGAGTTTGAGAACCCCTGCTCTAAAGCAATGATGTATATATTTATTTATTTAGCAGACAATTTTATGCAAAGCTACTTACAAATGAGGATAAAAATGAGGTTACATTTTATGAACGATACTAGACAATGAAGAATGGAAATCAAGGAACTTAAATACACAAATAGGTATGCTTCCAACCAGGGGTCCGTTCTTCGTACGTGGATTACTCAATTAGCTGGATTTGGATATTGACGATTTGACATGATCCAGGATCGTTTCGTTCATCAAAGCTGATCCGAGAGTTGTTGTCATAGCAACAGTTCTGCTAGGTCAAACCTGATCGGGAGCAGGTTCAATTCATATAAACAGGATTAGATCGGCTCAGTTCAAGCAAAGATAATACAGAAAGTATGTTCCGAATTCTGATATTTTCTTACAGTAGTAGTTATATACACTTGGGAAAATGGTACATATTTTTTAACTATATAAAGTTATAGTCATTAATAAAATAAATAAAGTTATACATATTAATAAAACGTATGCAATCTGCACCCTCGAAATGAAAGTACAAAGACTGCCACCTGGTGGTGCAAAGAGAAAACTTATTGATATGAACGTTTTAGATCGCTTTAGTACAAATTGTGTATAATAGAAATGCACTATATGTGACTTTTTTTAAAAAGCAATAATACCTTTATGGAGTCATAAACATGTTTTGATAGTTAATAGTGATTTGATGCTTCACAAAAGTTGCAGACGCCTTTACGAATATCAAAATGCTGTTGTAAACAACCATTTATTCTTTACACCGATTAAAAAACGGCTACTATAACATAGACAATATTTTCTAAATGTAGAACTAAATACACTGATTTGCATTGAAATACATGATGAATACTCTTGATACATGAAAGTGTAAAGCCTGCAGCTCACAACAAATGTGGAAGGTTATTGCGTGTCATATTTAACAAACCGTTTACTGCTAATTTGATGTAATTTTGCTCACATGGATAATTGAATATTAATCAGATGATGTCATTATGCTGCTGTGCCGTCAGCCAATCGTTGCATAGCTGATCATGATTTCGAGGATCGATAGATCTGTCCTTCACAACACACGCAGCGATCTCAGATCAGTTTATCCAGACATTCTAATCTGATTCGCCAACTTGTTTGAAGAACCAAATTAGCGAGAGATCAGTTATCAAGATTAAAAGATCCAGGATCTGCCAAATCATCTTAGATCATTTAAGCGAGGTACGAAGAACGGACCCCGGAGAGGAAAATAACATAGGAGATTTGTAAATAAAGCAGTTTTTTTTTTTTTGCGCATTTGGCATTTCTTTACGCAATATTTCAAAATGCTCATACAAATAAGTGGATGAAAACAAATACACTGCAAAAAAATCTAACTTGGAGGTTTTGTCTTGTTTCTTCTGTAAATATCTACAAATTCTTAAATCAAGAAACTTTTTCTAAAACAAGCTAAAATATTGTCGTTTTCAGAAATAACGTCAAAATTAAGTGAGTTTTATCGACGCCAATAGTGTAATGGTTAGTGCTTTGACGTGGTACTCTGGTGTTCAAGGCGACCCGAGTTCGATTTCCACCTCAAGGTCCTATGCCAATCATTCCCCTCTCTCTGCTTCCTACGCTTTTCTGTCTATACTCTCTACTGTCCTATCAACTAAAGGCGAAAAACCCCAAAAAATTATTATATAAAAAAATGTAAAGTCAGTTTTTCCTTAAAACAAGATAGTTTTCTTACCCAACTGGCAGATTATTTAGCTTGTTTTAAGGAAAAACTCACTTTATTTTGACTTAATATTTTTGAAAACAAGACTTTTTTTTCCTTGTCTAAAAAAATACTTGTTGATCAAAGATATTTTTAGATATTTGGACAAAGAACATGACAGAAACTCTTACTTAAAAAAAAAAAACATTATTTGCAATAATAAACTCAAAGCCTGAGAGGTGAGATCAAGAAAAACAAGGACTATGTGGAAAAACAAAACCTGTACATTTAACTAACGCAATACTTGAAGAATCCACAAGGTAAATCTCAACAGAACAAAAGCTTAACCCTGACAAAATCAACTATTCGTTAGTCATTCAAAAAATATTATAACGTATTATAACTATAACTATTTACATTGTTAAATTAACTAAACACCTTTACTAATATTTATAGAAAATATGATGATATCAATTTCCCAGAGATGGGTTGCAGCTGCATGTATGTTTGTAAAACATATGCTGCATAAGTTGGCGGTTCATTCCGCAGTGGCAACCCCAGATTAATAAAGGGACTGAATGAATGATGATATAAAATGCCATTTTGTAAACAATTTTATAAGCAAAAACATCTGGAACCATACCTGAGAGCATCTTCACCCTTGAATTGTATTGGCAGACCCATAGACACGTCACTCTTCATAGACACACAGCTGGGCTCTGCTTCTGGACTAAAAAAGAAACGATTGGATCCTTTATGTTAATAATCATCTTAATGGAAGATATTCAAATGCTTTTTGATTTAACTTTTTTTAAATAAAAAGCTTTCAACTGGATTTATGGCTTACAACATACACCAAAAAAAAACACACACTTGCTGTACCTGCATGCTGGAAAACATTCTTGATGTCCAGATGTTTGTGTGTCGTCCATGACCGATCTGAAAAGTTTGACCTACTACTGTTTCTAAATCACAAGAAGCTAATATTAATTAAGCTGCCTTTATAATAAAGCTGAGTGGATCATAAGAGCCAGATATAGATTGTTTGAGTATTGAGGTAAAGTTTGTTTCATATTCACACATTCATTCATTTTACAACAGTAAAAACTTGTGATGCACTAAGTTACTTTGAATATTTGGTTGTATATAGCATACAAATATGACTTCATAACAACATTAGCATGATTTAATTGACTGTGAACAATGTTGTACTTCGATAGTCTTTGGTAGCTAATATGATTCCACCATTTATAATTTGATAAGAACACTTCTGAAATTAAATTTGGAAAGTTAAAACCCAAATGTGCAAATATAAAACTAGCTTTACCTCAATAAGTCGAGTCACAAGTAAACACATCCTGTTTTTACTTTTGAAGACTCAAAGTAGCCTAGCTAATGGTTAAAATTCATGTTATAACAAGAAAGCATTACTCTTTTGACATGTATTAGGTAAAAAGTCGTGTCGAGGAACACTAAAAAAGGGGAAATTCGTGTCAGTGAACAATAATATGACTATAACGAACTACCGTGTTAAAGTTGACGTTTGACATTCATTAAACCGTGAATATTGACATTGTTTACTCGCTAATTACGTCTTGACGAAACACTTACCTTTTCCTTCAGGTAACTATAAGTTTCTCATGAAGTGTTCATAAACAGTTCTTGTAAACATTTTAAGATACGTTTGAAGGATCGATTCTGTTAAGTAAACATAGCTAAACGCTAACTCTGTATGTCACTTTCGTTTATAAGGAGAACTGCACGTCATGGGTTGCCAGATCCAAGAAAATTATCACTTCAAAAAAATGTTTTAATAAATTTCACGTTTTATTTCTTATTATACGTTTTGTCTAGACAAGAGTTAGTAATATGCAAATATTGAATCTGTATTTATACCATATTTACAATTGGATATATAATCACTGCTTAACAATATGTAATGTTATTTTTTTTAATCAATAACATACTGTATTTAAAATTTTTTGTAGCCTATTAAAAATTGAGGTTGAGAAGAAAAATATTAAAATATTTAACTGACAAAATCAAGTGATACATTTTTTTATAATTATTTTAAACTCGCCTGTATTTTTTTTTCTTGAGTTGAAAAACCAATTAAGCTTAGGTCTAAAGTGACCCGACTAAGTTTATTTTTTCTATATCTTTGCAAGATTTGAACTTCATCACTTAGTATTCCAGGAATGCTTCGATAAATTTGTTTTTCATCAGCTCAAAGTCTTGGATTGCTTTTTTTTTTCTTTTTTTACTTTTTGAATAAAAATCATTTTTGTGTCACTACCCTTTTAATGCACACCATGGGTCTAAAATGACCAGGATTCGTTTCCTATGTTGATTTCAATCGTGCCTGAGCATTTTTTATTCATTCTTTTTTTTTTGCAGAATCTTTTAATTTAATGCATTTTGTCGTTTTCATAAAATATCTTATTTTACGCTCACACAAATACTTATATTTAGTACCGTTTTTGTATTTGTACATCAATTTTAAAATAAGTGTCAAAAATGACCCATATAGGAACCTTTGCTGTTTCATAATTGTTGCAAAAAGGAACGCATTTACTGCTAAAACTGTTCACCTGGCACGTTTCACAACTCAACATGGTGATTTCCTCTATCTGAAATCTGCTTCAGGAGCTGTTTGGGTAGGTGGAGGAGGCAAACTACAGGCCTCCGGTTCCTGCTGGTGATGAGCGCATTGGTCTGGAGTATCTGTTTTCCCAGTCCTCAGAGGCCTTCAGTGCTCCTGATCATCACGCTCAGACTAGAAAGACATCTCAGGCAGATGAGGATGAAGACAAAGATGTTCCTGCTGGGGTGGCAGAGGAAGGGGAAGAACCACAGCCCTGCTAAAAAATCCAGCTTAAACCAGCCTAGGCTGGTTGGCTGGTTTTAGCTGGTCGACCAGGCTGGTTTTAGAGGGGTTTTGGCCACTTCCAGGCTGGTTTCCAGCCATTTCCAGCCTGGTCTTAGCTGGTCAGGCTGGAAAATGACCAGCTAAATCCAGCTAAAACCAGCTTGACCAGCCTGGTTTAAGCTGGACATAGCTGGTTTTGGCTGGGCTCCCAGCCTGGCTAGGCTGGTCAAGCTGGTTTAAGCTGGATTTAGCTGGTCATTTTCCAGCCTGACCAGCTAAAACCAGGCTGGAAATGGCTGGAAACCAGCCTGGAAGTGGCCAAAACCCCTCTAAAACCAGCCAACCAGCCTAGGCTGGTTTAAGCTGGATTTTTCAGCAGGGAGGAGGAAGAAGATGATGTGGGCTAACTTACTCCTTAGACAGATCAGGCAGTGGCTGCTGAATTTGACCCCTGTGTGGAGGACGTGTGCGGTCCCAATCCTCTGCCTGGGTACCAGCACGTAGAGGATCTGTGTAAAGTCCTTGTTGAGATCGCCCTGAAGGAAGGAAAACTTGCCTTAAATGAGTCGACCAGGCAGAAGGTCATCAGCGCCTGGAACAAGCTTGACCTCCATGACAGCAGCATACAAACAATTTAACAGCCTCTCCTCTGCACACTGGGGCAATGCCCTGTTTGGCCGCACCAATGGAGATCCGACTGAGGCGTCCCTGATGCAGAAGCTCAAGTTCAGCAGGCGGTACTCAGCCGCACACTTGGTCGACTCCAGAAAGAACTGTACTGCCTGGTCAAACAGTCAAGCAACCACTCAACAGTCTAGAAACTGCCTAGCAACATCTTAGCAATACCTTAGCACCCATTTAGAACACCCTAGCAACCAACTAGCAAGAAACATGCCAGTCCGTACTAGAAACCTGCTAACGTATATGTGGTTATCTATCTTCAAACTTTCAAACTTAAAAACTACTTCAATTTATTAATTTTTATAGCTATGTCAAACTGTCAGACGAGGCTTTCTTAAGACACTATAAAGTTTGTCTACAAACGTTACTTTCCTAGTATATTATTCTGTATATAATCCTGTTATTATTCAATATATCATATATTATTAAATGTATCATACCTCATATGTATGTTATTCACCTACCCCTGCTGAAAAATCCAGCCTAAACCAGCCTAGGCTGGTTTAAGCTGGATTTTACAGCAGGGATATCAATAAAAAATAATAATAGGCTAGATCAGAAAACCTTTAGCATTAACATTTTAGGATAAAACAGTAATAAAAACAACAATAATAATCAGTATATTTACAACGATTCAATTAATTCTTTCTCTCTCTCTCTGTCTCTCTGCGTGTGTGTGTGTGTAACGTCATGAGCGTCAAAGAGAGATAACCGTCCCAAAGCGGAAGCTGACTTCAAATAGAAAGCGAAAGCGTCTTTGTCAGTAAAGGATCCATTTTAGATGTAAACCTACGCATTCTCCTGGTAAGTTGTGTCCTTTAAAATAATTTACACGATAGCAAACTAGCACAGAATCAATGCACAGTCGATGTTTTTCGTGGCACTGAAATGGCGTTCATCTATGTTGATCTGGTATGGTTTTGCTCAGAAGTTAAACTATAAAACAAAACGGGTAAATAAATCTCAAAACGCGTGGTTTGCTTACCTAAAGTTGAAAATAAGTGATATTCAGATGATTTTTAATCGAGATAATTACTCACTTATGACAATTGCTTATCATAATTGTCGTGTTTACCTAACTTTAACACGATGCTAGGCTAGTTTTCTTTATTTGAATATATCAACTACTATCAGGTAATTTAATTGCTATGTGTACCAGTTTATTAAACAACATTTAATGATTTTACAAACAAAATATATAGCTATAAAGCTACAAATACGTTTAAAGCAAACAACTCTAATGTTTACATAGAGGTAATTGGTTTTATATTAGCCCATTCGTTCATTTAGAAGTCTCTATATTGTTTACCATGTTACTTTGAATATTCTATTGGAATTAGCAAGCAAGTGTGACTTGAAAACAACATTAGCACTGTCTATTTGACTATGAACAATGTTGTACTTTGATAGTCATTGGCTGCTAACATGATTTCGCTATTTAGAGTTTGCAAATAATACTTTTATGAAATTATATTATTAAGGGGAAAGTCAGAATGTGCGAATATAAAACCAACTTTACCTCTATAACGTTTACACTTAAATCCACAAGGTGTAAAACTAGGGTAATATTAATTATCACGTTACAAATGTGTTATTTACTTAAAAATAAGACGTGTCATTCATTCATTTTCTTGTCGGCTTAGCCCCTTTATTAATCCGGGGTCGCCACAGCGGAATGAACCGCCAACTTATCCAGCAAGTTTTTACGCAGCGGATGCCCTTCCAGCCGCAACCCATCTCTGGGAAACATCCACACACATACACTACGGACAATTTAGCCTACCCAATACACCTGTACCGCATGTCTTTGGACTGTGGGGGAAACCAGAGCACCCGGAGGAAACCTACGCGAAGGCAGGGAGAACATGCAAACTCCACACAGAAACGCCAACTGAGCCGAGGTTCGAACCAGCGCCAAAGCGACCTTCTTGCTGTGAGGCGATAGCACTACCTACTGCGCCACTGCCTCGACCCAATAAGACGTGTGTAAGTTACAATTCACATTGACAGACACAATTGACTTTGTTCTACAAACAAAGGCCGAAAGGAACTGAATCTGACGAATCAGATATTTTAGAAGAATTCCACAAATATTGTGGTGAGATAACAGAACAATCAAACAAGTGTTGCAAATAGTTAACAGGATCACAACATAGATGCAAAGTACGATTTAAGGCGGATGAAATTTAAATCAAGCAGAAACCAATTGTTCTACAATAGAGGTAAAGTTGGTTTTATATTCACACATTCGGACTTTCCCCTTAATAATATAATTTCTTTAAAGTATTATTTGCAAACTTTAAACAGTGAAATCATATTGAAATAAGTGAAATAATATTCTCTCCCTATTATTGAGGTCCAGCATTTGTAGTACGTTTACTTTGCTTCGGACCAAAGCTGTTGTAGCATTTTTCAACTGTTTCAGTACGATAAAGTGTCAAAAACTCTACTGAAGCTGGTTTAGTCCAATAAAGCTAAGCATTTGGGTCTGTTTGAGGTCGATTTTAAGTCAGGGGTGTCCAAAGTCGGTTCTGGAAAGCCGGTGTCCTCTAACTTGCTTCAACACACCTGCCTGGAAGTTTCTAGAATACCTAGTAAGAGATTGATTAGCTTGTTCAGGTGTGTTTGATTAGGATTGGAGCTAAACTCTCCAGGATACCAGCCCTCCTGCCAGATTAGGGGGCCCTGCCTCGTCGCGATGATCAATAATTGAAAATCCGGCAACCGCAATAATCAAACCCCTGGGAACAACTGTGGTCAGAACCAAAGTTCACAGGTCCGTGTTCTCTGAACTCCTCTCAAGCGGTTGACTACTTCATTCTGATTGCTTGCTGCCGAACCGTGTCACAAGTACCATAAAGTTGACTTGATTTCAAGTCCTCCTCGACGCCCACACCGGAGAAGACGCGCCGCGCTGCTCCTCGCCACCGATTCTCATTGAAAATGAATGACTTCCGGCTACTTTGATGCTCTCACCGCTTGTTTGTGAATGCTACCCCGCGTCGTCACTCCACCCCACCACCCTTTCCCGCTCCTCAGTTTGTGAAGGCTTCCCCGCAATGTCACTCCACCCCACCTCCCCTTTCTCGCTCCTCAATTTATGATCGCTTCCTCGCGTCGTCGCTCCACCGACTCTCACCGTCCCCTCAGTTTGTGATCCCTCCACCACCCCACCCGCCCCCATCAGGGGCATTTTGAGAGCATTTTGCGCTACGCCACTGCCTCCAGCACCAAGTGTGGATACCCCAGATGTAAGTCAAATAGAGCTTTATTGTCATTGCGCTACATGTGTTGACATACAGAGAAACGAGATGTCGCGTCTCACAGGACAACGGTGCTACATAAATTAATCATTATTACAAGCACAACAGTAGACATGAGAGCGATTTAAAAAAAAACTATGCATCACTAACATATATTATAAGATACTTAACTATATACATTAGACAGGCTATAGAAGTACTTTTACATGAGACGGAAACAATGTTGTGCAGGAGAGGTATTAAAGGTGAATATTGTGCAAGTTCATGTTCTCACCACAAACAAAATGCTCCAGGATTAGTTTAAAAGCATACCGAGATTAGGCATGAGACGATTACCATTTTTAAGGTATATCGCAATTTGGAAAAGTCAAGGTTTTGAAACCGCCAACATTTTCTGGAATACCATTTTTAGGGTATGTGTTAGATTTTTTTTTTTAGGACTACAGCATCTCCAGCAGAAAAAAATATTGAAAGATGCAGTTTTAAATCTGTGTTTTTAAAACTAATGTAGACAGCAGAAGTCAATGATTCATTTTCATTATTTAGCCTGACATGTTTACTGCTCTAAAAATGTTTTAAATCTTTAAAAAATTTAAATAGATTTTGTTCAAAAGGGGAAAATGTGTTGCTTTTTTCTCAGACATTTAAAAAAGAATATATTTTAGAGCAGTAATCACAATACCGTAAAACCGTGATATTTTTGTCCGAGGTTATCATACCGTCAGAATCTTATACCAGCCCATGCCTAACTGAGATCACCTCTTTTAGTTGTGCCAGTGCTCTCAGTGCGCTTGTTTGGTCCACTCTTGGTGAGCAGCCGAGTATGACTGCCACTTTCACACCTGCCCAAATGAACCTCACCAAAAGTCAAACAAACTGTGGTACATTACAACCGAACTAAACGAGGTGGGTGAGAAGGCACCTCAACAGAAAACAAAAAACTCATAAAGGTTTAAAACCAGATAAGGGAGAGTAAATAAATGACGTGATTTAAAATATTAGATAAGCATCGAAGAATTGACTGGGATCCCATTGAGTGTATTGTGTTTGTAGTGTCTTCTAGAGATATGCAAGATATTATTGACATGCATATTGGTATAGACGTAAAATCACATGATTATCAGTTTTTTCGATGTGCATCCTGTTCTCCAACTTGGGATCATTCTGAAAACGTACCCCTATATACATTTCTGGAGAGTGCCAAATACTTCCCAGGAGGGATGTTTTTTTGCAGTTTTTGTCGAGTGCCATTCGCACCTGCTCTTCTTGTTTAAATTCGCTGTCGACTGACTGACCGACTTAAGCCTGGTTAATACTTCTGCGTCAGGTGACCGGCGTAACCCACAGCGCATGCAACGCGCATGGCTGTGCATTTATACTTCTGCGCGCTGTCTCTGTCGGTCTGCATTAACACTTCCGAAACGCTAGTTGGCAGTGAGGTGTATATGTTCCTTTGTGTCGAGTTTCTTTGCTGCTTTTTTGCTTTTCCTGAACACTTCCGGGTTGTACAAGTGGCTCAAACTCGCTCATTTAGAGGCAGGAACCGGCGGACGTGCAACAACTTTAACTATGAGGTAAACACAAAACAAAACTTTCCATCCGGAGCTCCTTCACGGGACTCCACACTTGTAAACAATCGCTCACGCCATTCGTGCGGCTTTCGGTCCCGCCCAGACTCGTCAGCGATATCAAGCCGACCAATCACAGAGCTTACGCTACGCGTCGTTGCGACGTGTAGTTACATTTTTTGAGAGGTGCACGTCAGTGACGGCAAAGGCGAAGGGCTATGCGTCAGCACCGTAGCATACGCCGGCGTTTGACGCAGAAGTATAAATCAGCCTTTACCTACCCTCCAACTGAAAGTATTTTCAAAAGCAATCCAGAAAAAGTAAAACTCTTGCAGCTGCCTGATGTTTTTAGATTTTACCACATTTTCAACCTGTTTTTTTATTTGTTTATTTTCAGTTTTTGTCTTACCTGCTTTCTGGAACCATTCTTCACTCAGACTCGAACCCCATCATCGCAGTCAACTCCACTCCATATCACAAGTCCACCGATGTATACAGCGAGCCACTGGACAAACTGGTAACAGCGGAAGAGCTGTCCAAACGGAGGCAAGCGGTCAGCTGGTAAGCGCGAAAAGGAATGGCGTCATACCGCCTGTAGTGTTCATTTTAAAGACGAAATGCAGCCGTATGTACCTTTGGCTACATTATTTGCGATCTCCAAAAGGGCTACATTTTCAGAATTAGCCTATGTTGATTTGCTCAGTGGTTACGTAATTAACTTTTTAAATACTATTTAAATCACAGGAGATCACTGTGAGTCAAAATGAGCCTCTGTGAGGAGAAAGAAGAAGATGCGGTTCACAGCCAGAACAAGAGAGGAGCATCTCCAGAGTCCAGCTGTGTGTCTTTGAAGAGTGATGCATCCATGCAAAAACCTGCTAATTTCAGTGATGGACCAGGGACTTTTACACCTAGGTAAGACAATAACTAGGTCTGCTGTCAAGTACTTGAGTCTTTTGAATCCTTCTCCCTAAATGTTTGCTCAGATTGTTACAATCACCTCAAGTTTTCTAGGGTCACAGAGAAAGTAAACTCACCCTATTTGATGACTTGAGGCATAAACAAACCAATTGCAGCTCAGACTGCATAGTTAAGCTTAGCTTTGGTGTCGTTTCAGGATGGACAAATGATTCTGGTCTGTTGTGGTAAAGAAGGAGCAGAGCCGAAAGGCAAAGCTCTCGACTTACCGGTCAATCTACTTTCCTACTCTCACCTATGGTCATGTGATTTGGGTCATGATCAAATAGACAAGATCTCGCATACAAGTGGACGAAATTAGTTTCCTTCGCAGGATGGCAGGGCGCACCCTTATAGATAGGGTGAGGTGCTCTGTCACCCAGGAGGAGCTCAAAGTAGAGCCGTTGCACCTCCACATCGAGACAAGTCGGCTGAGGTGGCTCGGGCATCTGTTTCGGATGCCTACCTTGGGAGGTGTTCCAGGCATGTTCCACCTTGGGGAAAACCCAGGACACGCTGAAGGGACTATGTCTCTCGGCTGGCCTGGCAATATCTTGGGATACCCCCGGAGGAGCTGGAGGAAGTGACTGGGGAGAGAGAAGTCTGGAGTTCTCTCCTAAGACTGCTGCCCCCGCGACCCGGCCCCGGATAAGCGAAAATGACATGACCTGATGACAAATTATTCTTAAACCTGAAGACCCGATAGGTCACTTGGTGGCAATCATGAGCCTTTCCAGCTCAGACTGGATTAGTTGAGCTCAACGTTGTGAGCACATATTGGATGAACGATTTAAAAATCCAAAGAGTCGAAAGGTCAAACTGCATGCATTGGTTAAGCATATGGGACTGTCAGTATAATGAGAATAAGCCACTCAAACTTAAAGACTTGTCAGATGAGGAAATATTTGTTTCTCTTTCTTATAGCATTATAGTTCTCACTTATTGTGATCCACGTTTGCACTACTTGTGGATGTTTAGGACTCAAAGGTTCGAAGACTCAAAAGTCCAACCTTCCCATCACTATTCTTTAGCATCTTCGTTTGATAGTGAACATCCAGTGTGAGATGGTTGGCGCTAGTCTGTTGGCGTTTCCTCCAATCTGTCTGATCTCATGAATGATTGATGGCAAGCACTGATAATCGAAGTGCACTCTAAGATGACGACAAAACAGACAGTAGCAAAGACACAACCTGCAACTTTCCTCACATAGGGACGTAATAAAGAATCAAACATGTTAAAGCTATCATTGGACATATTCTGCATATGGGTCTTTAATAAAGATGTTTATTGTGTCTGACCTGAATTTGGGAATGCCACACATTGCTCTTTTTGAAAATGTTGTTGTTCATCCTTTTATTTTTTGTGTTGTATGGATAGAGATAACCAGGAAAGCAACCCGCAGCTGAAGTCTTGTTCACAAGTGGCTGATGAACTACAGAGAGTCAAAGACCAGCACAAATCCAGCATGAGGAGTAAATATGAGAGATTGTTTGAGGGAATCAACCAACAAGAAAATCAAACCCTCCTGAACAGGATCTACACACAACTGTACATCATAGAAGGAGAGAGCGAAGGTGTTAATGAAGAGCATGAGGTTTTACAGATGGAGAAAACACCTGGAACGAAACGCTCTCAAGACATTCCAATATGCTGCAATGACATCTTTAAAATCTCAGCTGAGCCAGGACTTGAGGAGAAAGCCCAGATCAAGACTGTTCTCACTAAAGGCATCGCTGGAATCGGGAAAACCGTCTCTGTGCAGAAGTTCATTCTGGACTGGGCTGAGGGACGAGCCAATCAGGATGTAGATTTCATGTTTGTGCTTCCATTTCGAGAGCTGAACTTGATCAGAGATCATCAGTACAGTCTTCACAGACTTCTGCTGGACTTTCATCCTGAGCTTCAGGATCTGGACTCAAAGATTTATGAGCAGTGTAGAGTTGTGTTCATCTTTGATGGTCTGGATGAAAGCAGAATCACACTGAGGTTTTCAAACATTGAGAACGTTTGTGATCCGAATGAATCTTCATCAGTGAGTGTGTTGATATCAAACCTCATGAAAGGAGATCTGCTTCCATCTTCTCTCATCTGGATCACCTCCAGACCAGCAGCAACCCATCAGGTCCCCTCCAAATACATCAGCCGTCTGACAGAAATTCAGGGATTCACTGATCCTCAGAAGGAGGAATATTTCTGCAAGAGAATCACTGATGAGCATCAAGCCAGGAGAATCATCTCCCACCTCAGAAGAGCAAGAAGCCTCCACATCATGTGCCACATACCCGTCTTCTGCTGGATCTCCTCCACTGTGCTTCAGAAGCTCCTGGAGGAAGATGTGAGTACAGAAATCCCTCAAACTCTGACTGAGATGTACATCCACTTCCTGCTGATTCAGATCAACATGAGGAAGCAGAAGTACGAAGAGGGAGATCCAGAGAAACACCTGCAATCCAACAGAGAAGTGATCCTCAAACTTGCTGAAGTGGCTTTCAGACAGCTGATGAAGGGCAATGTGATGTTCTACGAGGAGGACCTGATCGAGAGCGGCATAGACGTCACTGACGCCTCAGTGTATTCTGGGATCTGCACTGAGATCTTCAAGGAGGAATCTGTGATTCATCAGAGGAAGGTCTACAGCTTCATCCATCGAAGCTTTCAGGAGTTTCTAGCCGCTTTCTGCGTGTTCTACTCGCATTTGACGAAGAAAATTGAGTTATTGCAGTTGTTTCTTGATGATGAACATGAGAGGTACGCATCTAAGAGAAACTCTTTGTGTGAGCTTCTGAAATCTGCAGTCAATAAAACTCTTCAGTGCAAAAATGGATACCTTGACCTTTTTCTGCGATTCCTCCTGGGCGTTTCGCTGGAGAGCAATCAGAGACTTTTAGAGGATCTGTTGACGCACACAGAGAAGAGCTCGGAAATCATCATGGAGACTACACAGCACATTAAAGACAAAATCAGAGACAGCTTTGGCCTCCTAGCTGACAGATCCATCAGTCTGTTCCTCTGTCTTCTTGAAGTAAAGGATCAGACTCTGCACGGAGAGATCCAGGAGTATGTTAAATCAGATGAACAGACAGAGAACAAGCTTTCTCCTGGACAATGCTCAGCCATCACTTATATCCTTCAGATGTCGGAGGAGGTGCTGGAAACGTTTGATCTACGCAAATACAACACATCAAATGTGGGCAGAAAGAGACTGATCCCAGCTGTGATGAACTGCGCAACCGCTATGTGAGTAATTCTTCTAGTCAGAGGTCTTAGTGGTTGTTCTTAACCAAAAGTTGCCAATGTTTGATGTATTTAGCCTGTTTACACCAGTGTTTCTCAACCATGTTTCTGGAGGACCACCAGCAGTGCATGTTTTGGATGTCTCCTTTGTTGGTTACACCCATTACAGGTCCTTTAGTCCCTGCTAATGAGCTGATGATCTGAATCAGGCATGTTTCGTTAAGAAACTTTGGGAGACTTGGCAAATGTTCCGAGCTGGTGGTCCTCCATGAACGTGGTTGAGAAACACTGGTTTAAACAACAACATTGTTTTGGGACTGAAAATAGAAGTTTTTAAAAAAAAGCTTATGTTGTTTTTAGGTAAACACCCCAATATGAGTCTTTGAAAACAGTGACGTATACGAATTATAGGGATTAAAGGCAAACGCAAACCAACACACAACTATAGTGGAGTATGTTTAGGTTGTTGCTCAAGTGTGATGAGTAAAATGTGGATTTACTTCACTTTACAGCCTAAAAGTGAAGGCACACAATTGGCAAATTATACATAGACGTGTGCTAAGCCGCCATCGTAATCATAACTCTAAAATGCGATATGATCATTTAAACGAAGTGCACACTTTCTGTTTCATTTTGACTGCTAAGTGCTGTTCCTACATTGCGCACGACTCCCAAACGATCACTGTGCCACAAACTGAATATTATTTACAACTATATTACCTGTTACTCACAACATTTGCAGGTTCTGTTCACTAAAGTAGACGCGGGCGCATAACATGAAGACAAAAATCACATTTTAGGTGTAATTATACATTTTAAATACAGTATGTGAATCAACATCATTTGGAGGTGTCAATGTCACTGAGCAACGTATGTGAAACAATGAAAAGACTTGTGCGGCCGCCTTGACTTCTCTCCTGAACTTGAAAATATGATTGGCAGAATCGTAGAAATGCTGGATTAAGATCGTCTAGGGGGTCGAATCGAGATTGCGATCTTTTTACGATTAATTGTGCAGCTCTACTAGAAGGGCACGTCTCTACAGTTCATAAGGTTTGTTACTTGATAAACCTGGTTGCTAGTAGCAATGTAAGATGAAACAACTGATGCGACCAAAGTCACGGTCAATTTAGAGTTTGTGCTTGCGAAATCCAGTCGTGCTATGCCTTGAAAAGAGTTGGGAAAAAAACAATATGATTACACATTGATAAAGCAAGAGATTGGTCTATATCTAAAATTTCTGTAGAGAGAGGTCAAGTTTTGATCTTCTATTGGTCTCTCGCAATTACATGATGCGATTTCGCAGGTCAGAGTTCACCAAGCTTGAATTTTTGAGCGAAATGTGACACTAAAGGCTGATTTACTGTATACTTCTGCGTCAAACGCCGGCGTATGCTACGGCGCTGACGCATAGCCCTTCGCCGTGGCCGTCGCCGTCACTGACGTGCACCTCTCAAAAAATGTAACTACACGTCACAACGACGCGTAGCGTAAGCTCTGTGATTGGTCGGATTGGTAGCGCTGACAAGCCTGGGCGGGACCGAGAGCCGCCGAATGGCGCGAGCGATTGTTTACAAGTGTGGAGTCCCGTGAAGGAACTCCGGATGGAAAGTTTTGTTTTCTGTTTACCTCAAAGTTAAAGTTGTTGCACGTCCGCCGGTTCCTGCCTCAAAATGAGCGAGTTTGAGTCACTTGTACAACCAGGAAGTGTTCAGGAAAAGCAAAACAGCAGCGAAGAAACTCGACACAGAGGAACATTTACACCTCACTGCCAACTAGCGTTTCGGAAGTGTTAATGCAGACCAACAGAGACAGCGCGCAGAAGTATGAATGCACAGCCACGCGCGTTGCATGCGCCGTGGGTTACGCTGGTCACTTGTTGCAGAAGTATAAACCAGGCATAATTCGCACGCACTTGCGTTTCCTGTCTGCCGGAAGTCTATGGAGAGAAAAGGGTAGTGTGATCGCAGCTTAACAAACCACTAGCAGCAAATGGATAACGTGGATCCCCGTCAACTCACTTTAAAATTAAAGATAAATGTTACCACCAACCTCAGCGTTTGAAACCATAATAACTCTGTCAGTACTTTATTTCATTTGCAAAGATATGTGCCCTGTCAGTGTTGTAAAAAATGAAGGTTATTATATCGAACCCTTGAAAGCGCACAAGCCTTGCTTTTGTCAAATCTGTTACAAAGAGAACTAAGCGCACAAGCCAAACATGGTAAACTGCTTTTTTGAGAGGATAATGAACAAATACTGTAGACTTACGCAGCAGATGTGTGGCAGATCATATTACCTGTGCACACAACACAACCCCCATTTGATAATGACAGCCCATGCTCATGTGATTATCCTCTTAAATTGTCAGAGTTGTGGGCAAATTATAAGTTTGAGGCTCTGACAGTCCTTTAATTTTACTGAAGAATCCTGCAAGCACTTTTATTGATTATTCATTTATTCTATGGTCAAGTTATGATATTGTATGTTACAGTTGTAAGCTATTACAGTACCCTAACAGATACTGTTAACTAAAAAGTGACAGTGACAAATGCTGACCTGGCATACTTAATACAAGCTTGTCACTTGTCTTTTTGTAAACAATGATTGCTTAAAAACTAGAGGTGTGAACCTATACTGGTCTCACGGTTCGGTTCGGTTACGATTATCATGCCTTCGATTCAGTTCAATTCGATATCTCGGTGCATCACGGTGCATTGACGATGCTTTCCATGTACAGTGTTTTATTTTAGGGGGGAGGCTATTGACCTTATTCTAAAATGCGGAAGTGCGCCTGTTTTCGCGATTGTCTTAGAACTTCCGTTTCAGTCGACTATGGGAGAAATGACAAGGAATAATAAACGGCAAAAAACGGTCAAACTACTTGCTCTACAAACAAATGTTTGCATGACTATACTGACCAAGTAGAATAATATAACTAGGAAATATCAGTTTACAACATTAAACAGCGAAACGAGCAGTTTTTAATGTCTAAAAATAAATGGAAGTGAATGAGACCGGAAGTCTCAAGCCAAAAAGATTCAAATGGCAGCGTCCGCTGGTCTGCGGAGAATAAGGTCAATAACAAGCTGTCTGTATAAACACACAGACACACAGCACCACACTGTCTCTCATTCAAACACAAACACACACACTTAAGTCCTCGCAACAGGGAGAGCTCGTGCTGAGTGGAGCAAAAAAAAAACGAAAAAAGAAGCACTTTTCCGACGGTCCCTTACTAAGAGCTCCTCTCAGCTCTCCCGGCTAAACACGTATTGCGAGGGCTTAAACGGAGCAGTGCTCATAATGTCGAGCGAAAAAAAAAAAGAAAAGAAAGACAGCTGAGAAACATAACGAGCTTTGTCTTTTTGTAGGAAACACACTTTAGATCTTTTTAGGGTAAGAGGTTTTTGAGTTATTGCCGTCTATCACTGAATGCGTGTCAGGACTATCAAAAACAAAACCAACTGAACCGCGCTCATTTCTGGCGCCCCCCCTGGACACACAGCGCCCGTAGCATTTGCCTATGTGGCCTAGGCCACGGGCCGACCCTGAGTTGGCTGTGTTGGAAATACTTCGCTCTCGCCTCCCTCGCGACAGAGCGCATAGGAGATAAATGACGTCAGTGCATAATAACCGGTTATGATTATTACTGAACCGATACCGAATTGTCCGCATCTGCATCGCGGTGCACCGATGAAACAATTAATTTTGACACCCCTATTGAAAACATTGTGTAGACATATATATTTTTTAAATGCTAGGAAAAATTAACAATTATTTGGAAACGTTATTCTGTACATGTAGGCTTTATAGTGCGTTCACACTAGACATGGATGAAGTGCCAAGGGCAAGTGATTTGCATGTTAAGTCAACGCAAAGGCTTGAACAGACATCCTGCAGTGCGATCTAGGAACAAGTGGACTTAATGATTATTCGGTGGTTTTCAGTGTTCCTAAATCACATAGTACAGCTAATCTTTCGATAAAAAATCATGTTAACCATTAAGCAAGACTAAACCCCGCCCAGGATGCGAATCCGCATCTATTGTGAAGTGAATTTGATGCTTGAATACAGCGAGTTAACTCAAAATGTTCACGCATCTATTCACGCTTGAATAGCGCAATTTATTAGCGCATGCCGAGTCTGGTGTGAACACAGCATTAGTGATCCCTGGATTTAAGCTTTTCTGTACAGTGTCTTTCTAGTATTAGAAGTTTGCATGTTGTGTTGAATATTAGTTGAATGTTATTTAATCCTTGCATTTTTTTTAAATTCTTTGTTGCAGACTTGTTGGATGTCATCTCTCGGATCAGCACTGCGAAAGTTTATCCTCAGCTCTACAATCACCAAACTCCAGACTAACCGAGCTGAATGCGAGTAACAATGACCTGCAGGATTCGGGTGTGAATCTGCTCTCTGCCGGATTGAAGAGTTCACACTGTCAACTAATCATACTGAGGTTAGAAATGTATTTAATCTAACTTAAACATGCTAAAGCACGAACATTTTGTTTAAATGAACTAGTTCAGGCTCAGTGGTTAGCACTGTGGCCTCCAGCAAGAACGTCGCTGGTTCGAGTCCTGGCTGGGTCAGGTGGCCTTTCTGTGTGGAGTTTGCATGTTCCCCGTATTCATGTGGGTTTCCGCTGGGTGCAGTTCACCAGTTTAGGTGAACAAGATAAATTAAATTGGCCTAATGCCGAGTTCAGACTGCATGATTTTCAAAGTAGTCGTGTCACAGATGTTTTCACACTGCATGACTATCTGGGCTAGCGTTTCGTCGCTGCTTTGTTTACACTGCAAGATGGATCGGGGACAGGGGCTTTCAGATTGCATGACTTTACTATAGGAAGAATCGCCGACAACTTCGTCCAAACTACGTTCTCATAACTACATAATGAGAAAGAAGCCTTTAATGGGGTAGAACATGTACATGTTTGCTCACCTGGGTTTAAAGGGAATTAGCCATTTCTCCTCATCGTTGATAATAAACTAATTTTTTTCTGTATGAACCGTCAAACAGACACGGTTGCTCCTGAGTCCTGTCAAACCTCCACTAGTTTTTCCTCCATTTCGTGGGTCCAAATAAACCGAAAAAGAGCGCTTTTAACTTCTCCCGCAGCCTCCCGCTGGCCTGCAGCAGCTATACACACACACACACACACAAGTGAAAGCTGCTCTCTCATTGGCTGTAGGCGATCGCTGATTTTATTTTCAGTCAAAACTCATTTTACACGGCATGATTTGAATCGCCGACAGCTCCAGATATTTAGCATGCCAAATATCTCGCAGGCATCACCGATTTATCGGCGATTCTCTCAGATCGCGTCTTTGATCGTTCATACTGTGTGATCGTCACTCACGTGCACGAGCAGCGATTCGCCTGTGATTTCAGGCATTTGTCGGCGATTTCTCAAAACCTGTCGGCGAGCCAAAATCGGGGCTAAAATCACGCAGTCTGAACTAGGCATAAGTGTATGTGCGTATGTAAATTAGATGTTTTCCTATGTATGGGTGTTTCCCAGTAATTGGTGATTCATTCTGCTGTATAATGCTCATTCCCTGATAAATAAGGGACTAAGCCGAATGATAGTGAGTGTGTAAAGTAGTTTAAATACTAAAAAAAGAAACAAGAATGCATATATTTACTTGGTTTTGTGTATCATGCACTCCTGCCAAAAGTTATTTGGAGCTGGTATATAAAAGAAATATATTAATAGACTGGAAAGCTACTGCTGCCCATTGTTTTACAGATGGCTTGCTGAGATTGTCTTTATCTTACATCTTGAATCTAATTCTCTCACTAAATGATCAAAGGTCTGAGTTCCTTTCGCCAACATTTGGATAATAGTTAAATTAAAAGAGTTAGACCTATATTAGATAATTAAGGTAGTTTTGTGCAGATTTCTCTGACCTTTTATTGAATAATTTTTTTTTTTACCTTTACTAAGGGTAAATAGTTTACCCCAAAAAAATATTCTGTTATTAATTACTCACCCTCATGTTGTTCTAAACCCTTGAGACCTTCGATCATCTTTTGAATACAAGAGCTGAAATTTGAGAGCTCCCTTATCCTGCATACACAGAGTCCTAAAACGTTCAAAGTTGGGAAAAGAAACCAAAATATTGTCTAAAAAGCCCATTGTAACACTAAGAGTTGAGTGACAATAGAGGTGAGGGTCCAAACGCAGTTTATTAACAGCTTAGTCGGGCTGGCAATAGTCAACAGGAACAAACGATATCATGAAGGTAATCCAATAGCGTAGTCATGGTCACAGGCAGAAGTCGGTGCAGGCAGCAAACAGGGTAAACAAAGAAAAAAGGCAAGTATCTAAACCATAGGTCTCAAACTCGATTCCTGGAGGGCCGCAGCTCAGCAACCCTAATCAAACACAGCTGATCCAAATAATCAAGAGTCCTGAACACCTTGATCATTTGAATCAGCTGTCTTTGATTAGGGTTGGAGCAAAACTGCAGAGCTGCGGCGCTCCAGGAATCGAGTTTGAGACCTATGATCTAAAGGCACAGTAGGACTAGACAAAGAAAATGCTTCGCGATGGTACACATACAAGACTCAGCCATGTGTGTGTGTGTGTGTGTGTGTGTGAGAGAGAGGTGAATATGTAGTCTATGTGATCTGTAGTCTAATATGTAGTCTAGTCTATGTAGTCTATGTTTTCCCAACGTTCAAAGTTGGGAAAAGAAACCAAAATATTGTCTAAAAAGCCCATTGTAACACTAAGAGTTGAGTGACAATAGAGGTGAGGGTCCAAACGCAGTTTATTAACAGCTTAGTCGGGCTGGCAATAGTCAACAGGAACAAACGATATAATGAAGGTAATCCAATAGCGTAGTCATGGTCACAGGCAGAAGTCGGTGCAGGCAGCAAACAGGGTAAACAAAGAAAAAAGGCAAGTATCTAAACCATAGGTCTCAAACTCGATTCCTGAAGGGCCGCAGCTCAGCAACCCTAATCAAACACAGCTGATCCAAATAATCAAGAGTCCTGAACACCTTGATCATTTGAATCAGCTGTCTTTGATTAGGGTTGGAGCAAAACTGCAGAGCTGCGGCGCTCCAGGAATCGAGTTTGAGACCTATGATCTAAAGGCACAGTAGGACTAGACAAAGAAAATGCTTCGCGATGGTACACATACAAGACTCAGCCATGTGTGTGTGTGTGTGTGTGTGTGTGAGAGAGAGGTGAATATGTAGTCTATGTGATCAGTCTATGATTTGTTTTTAGTTGTGTGTGTGCAATCAGGGAGAGAACTGGAACTGGTGTGTGTGTGAGGTGCATGATGGGATTTGAAGTCCAGTTCCATGACAGATTTGTAGTTCTTTAGCGATCTGCAACTGTGACACCCATGTGATTTCAGTGGTTCAACTATAACTATACGACGCTTCAACAACATTCTTGTGCACTAGAAAAACGTAATCTTAAAACAAAATGTGTAAGCAGTATTGTTCAAAATGTGCGTTTTTTGTAATCAAATAAGTGTTCTCACAGGTTTTAATAATGAAATACTTGTTTTTTAGATTGGCAGGTTGTAGACTGACTGGTGTGTGCTGTGAGAGTTTGTCTTCTGCTCTCCAATCATCAACATCGTGTCTGAGAGAGCTGGACCTGAGTAACAATGACCTGCAGGATTCAGGAGTGAAGCTTCTCTCTGATGGACTGAAGAGTCCACACTGTCACCTGAACATACTGAGGTTTGATTTATAAGGTTTTCAATAAGATATTTAACGAATAATAGAGCTACAGAAACAAATCCGAAAGAAGTTTAAGAGAAATTAATTGTGACACCCTTGTAGCAAAGATAGCCTTAACTTTTTTTAAAGTACTGGAGTACAAAATGAGGCTTTTCCCCTTACTATTTTGTAACGCAAAGCAGGTTTATGTAAATAGCACAGTCTGTCAGACGCAGCACAGTGCTCATTCAGTAAAGACACAGCTAAACAGATGTGTTTTCAGTCTCGATTTGAATGTGCCTAATGTTGGAGCACATCTGATCATCTCTGGAAGCTGATTCCAGCAGCGGAGGGCATAGTAGCTGAAGGTGGGTTCACCCTGCTTTGACTGAACTCTTGGAATTTCTAATTTAATTGATCCCAATGGTCTGAGTCAGGGGCGGACTGGCCAAAGAGAGGCCTGATGGACATGTCCCGGTGGCCTGATGGTCAATCTCACCTGCCACTGTGACTCTGGCCCCCTGTTCTTCACTTTCCGATCGCCATACATCCACTGTCCTCCCCCCGCTCTTCACTTACCCTTGCTCCTCATTTACCAATCGCCATACACACCCCACCCTGCCCCAGCTCTTCCCTTACCGATCACCAAACAACACTGTATCCTAGGCTATTTAGTGATTATAGACAAGAAATAATACTTTAACATCTATTCAGGATGTAACTGGAATCCAGGATAAAGACCTGAGGATAAGTGTGATGGTGGCACACTGGCGAGGAAAGGAGTTAATGGGTGAAAATCCTTTTTGCTTTATTCTACCACTTAGGTTGGCGACCTGCAACCTCACTGCTGAGTGCTGTGAGAGTTTGTCTTCAGCTCTACAATCCTCAAACTGTGTCCTGAGAGAGCTGGACCTGAGTAACAATGACCTGCAGGATTCAGGAGTGAAGCTTCTCTCTGATGGACTGAAGAGTTTACACTGTCAGCTCAACATACTCAGGTATATAAGACTAAAGCCTTGTTTATACTCGACGCGTCCGCTTGTTCGTTTGAGTGCGTGCGGCGAATGTGACGTCATGGCGGAGTTTGCCGAGCTTCGCTTTGGGTGCGCACGGCATGATTTCGGCTGGCGGTGCGTCGGGCATTTTTTGAGACTCGAGCGAAGAGTGCGCGCGGCGCCGCAACTGATTTGAGTTGAATATGAAACACTTTGAAGAGATTTGATCTGAAACAGTAGGACTGAACACACATCTTATGACTCGTGATCAAAGATAACCAGATAATCAATAATTCTTGGCTAGAAATTGCAAACAGCCATGGGAAAGGAGAAAGTTTTTGTTAAAAGGTTTGGAAAAACCTGAAGAATACGTTTATTAAAATCAAAAGAGGCCATGGCAAAATGTACACAATTACAGAATATGTTTTTTCCACCCGTCATAGGTTTTGCACTGATGTATTTTGTTTAATTTTGTGTTAAAAACTATTTAATAGTTACAAAACTATAATGAAGTCGCAAAATTTTTATTTTTGATAACTGGAAAGGAATAGATATACTGATGCCTTGTTTCTCTGGGATTTATTGTTGATTTTGGTTAGGAATGTTGGACCATCACTGCCATTTTAGCATAAGAATAGGACAGAAACTAGCCAGACAGTAATGTGTGAATTGTCAAGCGGGCTAAATCTAAAATAATCTGTATTTTTTTAGCAAGTCTGCTTTTTTGCTTTTATTTTTGCGATAACAAATCATTTATTTGTCGAGCAACTCATGTTCTGTTGTCATTAATATTTTAATAAATTGTAATAGGTATAACTGTCCGAGATATGAACAAAAGCAAGTGATGACCAATAATTATTTGCTAGAAATAACAACAGCAGTGGGAAAGGAGGAAAGTTTATGTTTTAAAAAATTGGAAAAAAACCTGAAAGAGGTTTGTTTATGCCAAAAGAAATCATAGCAAAAGTGGAGACCCGGATACACAATTACAGAATATGTTTTTCCACCAGTCATAGCTTTTACACTAACCTATATTATTGGATCGTATTTGTAATACATCAGTATCTTTTTAGTAAGTGTACTTTTTATTTTATTCCTGCCGTAATAAAAATATATTTGTAGAGCAACTCATGTTTTCTTTTTATTAATATTGTAATAAACTTTAAAAGGTAAAACTGTCAGAGATATGGACAAAAGCAAGTGATGCATCAAAGTTTGATTTAAAAAAATCTTAAAGGTTATAAAAATGCTTATAATCATTAAAATAATTCATAAAAACAATACAAATAATAAGTTTAAAAATATTGAACGAAATTATGATATGACGTACTTCCGGAAAGTTCCTACTTCTCTGTTTATCCGTCTGATGTTAAGGTGGGTTTCTTTTTACCGCCCTCTGTCGTTTTAAAGAATATCACAATGGTGAACGTGGTGAGTATAAAAGCCTTGGCCGTTTCGCGAAAGGCACGCGCAGTCAGCGAAGGTGCGCGATGCGGCGCCAGGCACGAGTATAATCCCAGCTTTAGGCATATATGTTATATATAGTAAATAGTTACTTTCATCAACCTAATGAACAGTTTTAACCTACTCTTGACTTCATTTGGTGATTGTAATGTCAGATCAGGTTCTTAGCATACCCTGATTGCTGCATTTGCTTTAGTTTACATTCAAATAGGTAAATACTATTCAACTTGACGCATTTCTTAATTAAATGAATGACGAATCACTCTAGGAGTCCTAACTTTACATTGAATGATGATTATTTAAGTAAAACCACCTCAAATGCCAAATGATCACTCCCCTGAAGCAAATGACGGGGGAAGATTGTCAAACTCGCACAGAAGTCTTGGCAGCTGAAGTGTGGCATGGCAGATGTCTGCAAGACCTGTGTTCAGTTTCGCGTGCTTTCCAAATGCAATCCCAAACTCAGCCAGAAGTCGATGTTTACCGATGTCACCCGTAGCTGAACCTTAGTAGGATCTTATGTGTTTTTTGTTAACTGGCCCACATATTGCAAAAGGAGCTGTGAACCTGAAGAACATTCCCACCTATTCTGAATGTATGGCAACACATATATGGTAATAATCTGGCCCATATCTGTTTAGCCCACATCTGTGTGCAGCTATCACCCACATTTGGCCCAAATGTTCTTGATAACTGTGTAATGAAATCATCTTTTTTCTCTCTCCCTGAGAACAGATTATTCCATGACAACCAATGAATCAGAAACATTCTTCACACATAAATGTTTTATGAATTATAAAACTGTATTTACTTGGTTCTAGTTTTTAAAATATCCATTAGCAAATCCATTTATTTTAGCCAGTGTTTGGGCGTTCTTTTTAGGCCCTCCAGTGTGTTCTCGAGACTGTCACAACTTTCAACCCCCACTTTTTTTTCAATGACCGTAATACCTCAACACCCCCCCCCCCCCCCCCCCCCACAGACACACATTTTTTGTTGTACTTGTGACCATCACAACAAATCCGCCCGCCCACACACACACTTTTCATTCTTAAAGAAAATTTTTTTATTTTTTATTTTTGCATTTCAGCGAGTTTTGGATAGTTTTTGGTCTGGAATCAGTCACCTACATCTGGCAACACTAATTTTAGCCATTGTTTCTTCAATTCTCTTTATATGAAGGTCTGGTAACACTTTAAAATAACTATCTGTCATAACTAGTTATTAGACCATTAATAAACTGTTAGTTAACAAGTTATAAATGACTTGTGAAATAAAAGTTAATAGTTTGTTAATTATTTATAACTGTGCCTTATAGATGGCTAATAGATAACTTACAAGCTGTTAGTTAACAAGTTGTAAATGACTTCTTAACTGTATTTTAATGATTTATAACTATACCTAATAAATTATTAAGAGATCATAAACAAGTGGTTTGTAAATAACTTAATAAAGGCTTGTTAAGTATCAGTTAATAGTTTATATATGTTATTGGGACGTTATTCTAAAGTTGCAGTTATTCTTCGTTTATTAATTGTTAGTAAATGAGGAGTAGTTGCAACTTTAAAATAACGTCCCAATAACATGCTTAAGCTAATAACTAACACTTAACTAATATATGTACTCACCCTTTACAGATCAGTTGTTCACCATCTAATAAAACCAGTGAAACTTTGTAGAACTTTAATAAAATACATTTATATTTATTTTGTTTTCATGTTTAGCACTTCATAGGTTTGTATTCTTGTATACTGCTGTACTACCATGTCATGGTTCAGTATGTGTGTTTCTATAGATTAAACACAACTTTCGACATTTCATCTGTGGAGCTTCTTTGGTAAAACACAGCACACAGAAAAGCATGTGAGTGGAACAAGGTTAAGATACAAACATTTTATATTTGAAATATCACATCAAATTTCTGTAGCTTGAACTTGTTCCATCCATTTGCTGTTCTACAAAGTTTCACTGGTATTAGTAGACGGTTAACAAATGATGAACAACTGATCTGTAAAGTGTGAGTACATATATTAGTTAAGTATTAGTTATAAGCTTAAGCATGTTATTGGGACGTTATTCTAAAGTTGCAACTACTCCTCATTTACTAACAGTTAATAAATGAAGAATAGATGCAACTTTAGAATAATGTTCCAATAACATATATAAACTATTAACTGATACTTAACAAGTCTTTATAAACTAATTTACTAACAGCTTGCTCATGATCTCTTAATAATTTATTAGGTATAGTTATAAATCATTAAAATAAAGTTAAGAAGTCATTTATAACTTGTTAACTAACAGCTTGTAAGTTATCTATTAGCCATCTATAAGGCACAGTTATAAATGATTAACAAACTATTAACTTTTATATAACAAGTCATTTATAACTTGTTAACTAACAGTTTATTAATGGTCTAATAACTAGTTATAATGGATAGTTATTCTAAAGTGTTACCGAAAGTCTAAATAATGAACACTTTCAGTAAAAAAAACTACTGATGATGTGCCGTCTGATAAACCAATGTAATCTGGACTATTGCTGTGTTTGTAGATTGTCTGGCTGTATGGTGACAGAGGAAGGCTGTGGTTTTCTGTCTTCAGCTCTGACTTCGAACCCCTCACACCTGAGAGAGCTGGATCTGAGCTACAATCATCCAGGAGATTCAGGAGTCAAGCTGCTCTCTGAACAACTGGAGGATCCAAACTACACACTGGACAAACTCAAGTACGTAGACACCGCTCTGTCTATGTGTGTCTATTAATTGTGTTAAAAGTTCAGAAATCAACACTGTTTTTTTACAGTGCGGATCATGGAGGGGAGTTCAGAATTTCAGCAGGACTACATAAATGTAAGTCTATACAAAAATAGACACATATGTTTAAAAGGGTTAGTCCACCCAAAGATGAAAATTACTATATTAATTACTTACATCGTTCCAAACCTCTTCAGATTACAATAAAAATATTTTCGATGAAACCCAAGAGCTCTCTGGCTCTGATCCTAGACAGCAACCATCCCAACTAATTCAAAGTAAAACCAAAACACATCTTCAAAAGAGTTTATATCCCCTCCGTGGCTCAACCGAAATCTGATCAAGCTATGAGAATCCTCACACCCCATTCACACAGGGCGTCAGCGTCAACGTTTCCCATTCCCTTTGAATGGGTGACGTCAGGCGTTGCCGAACTGCATTGTGGATTCGTCAGCGCTGCTTCAGAGGCGTTGCTCGCTGCAGAAGTTGGGACTAGCTCAACTTTTCAAGCGCCGACGGAAGCGTCAGCCAATCAGATCGCTGTATGCAAATACACCAGCTAGACAGTGGCCTATTACTGACTGAATTTAATTGGCTGACGCTTCTATGACGATCGCTTCATCCCCAACTTCAGACACGCGTTCAGTCAAGCGTTGACGCTGAAGCCCCGTGTGAATGGGGAGTCCCAGTATCCCAGTATCCCAGTAGATCAGCAGTTTCTGAAATACTCAGACCAGCCCATGCATTGACAACCATGCCACATTCATAGACACTTAAATCAGCTTTCTTCCCCATTCTGATGCTTAATTTGAACTGCAGCAGAATTTCAGCAGGACTACATAAATGTAAGTCTATACAAAAAGACACATTCGTTCAAAATGGTTAGTCCACCCAAAGATGAAAATTACGATATTAATTACTTACATCGTTCCAAACCTCTACAGATTACAATAAAAATATTTTCGATGAAACCCAAGAGCTCTCTGGCTCTGATCCTAGACAGCAACCATCCCAACTAATTCAAAGAAAAACCTAAACACATCTTCAAAAGAGTTTATATCCCCTCTGTGGCTCAACCGATATCTGATCAAGCTATGAGAATCCTCACGCCCCATCCACACGGGGCGTCAGCGTCAACGTTTCCCATTCCCTTTGAATGGGTGACGTCAGGCGTTGCCGAACTGCATTGTGGATCCATCGGCGCAGATTCAGAGGCGTTGCTCGCTGCAGAAGTTGGGACTAGCTCACCTTTTCAAGCGCCGACGGAAGCGTCAGCCAATCAGATCGCTGTATGCAAATACACCAGCTAGACAGTGGCCTATTACTGACTGAATTTTATTGGCTGACGCTTCTATGACGATCGCTTCATCCCCAACTTCAGACACGCCTTCAGTCAAGCGTTGATCCTGAAGCCCAGTGTGAATGGGGAGTCCCAGTATCCCAGTAGATCAGCAGTTTCTGAAATACTCAGACCAGCCCGTGCACCGACAACCATGCCACATTCATAGACACTTAAATCAGCTTTCTTCCCCATTCTGATGCTTAATTTGAACTGCAGCAGAATTTCAGCAGGACTACATAAATGTAAGTCTATACAAAAATAGACACATTCGTTTAAAAGGGTTAGTCCACCCAAAGATGAAAATTACGATATTAATTACTTACATCGTTCCAAACCTCTTCAGATTACAATAAAAATATTTTCGATGAAACCCAAGAGCTCTCTGGCTCTGATCCTAGACAGCAACCATCCCAACTAATTCAAAGAAAAACCAACACACATCTTCAAAAGAGTTTATATCCCCTCCGTGGCTCAACCGAAATCTGATCAAGCTATGAGAATCCTCACGCCCCATTCATACGGGGCGTCAGTGTCAACGCTTCCCATTCACTTTGAATGGGTGACGTCAGGCGTTGCCGAACTGCATTGTGGATCCGTCGGCGCAGATTCAGAGGCGTTGCTCGCTGCAGAATTTGGGACTAGCTCAACTTTTCAAGCGCCGACGGAAGCGTCAGCCAATCAGATCGCTGTATGCAAATACACCAGCTAGACAGTGGCCTATTACTGACTGAATTTTATTGGCTGACGCTTCTATGACGATCGCTTCATCCCCAACTTCAGACACGCCTTCAGTCAAGCGTTGACGCTGAAGCCCAGTGTGAATGGGGCGTCAGTGTCAAACTACACCTTGCTAGAACCAGGTTGGGACCCCCTTTTGCTTTTCAGAACTGCCTTAGTTATTTATGGCATAGATTCAACAAGGTACTGGAAATATTCCTCAGAGATTTTGGCTCATAGTTGCTGCAGATTTGTGGGCTGCATATCCACGATGCGTATCTCCCGTTCCACCACATCCCAAAGGGATTGTCCAGTTTCGGTGAGCCTGTGTGAATTGTAGCTTCGGTGTCCTGTTCTTAGCTGACAGGAGTGGCACCCGGTGTGGTCTTCTGCTGCTGTAGCCCATCTACCTCAAGGTTGGATGTGTTGTGTGTTCAGAGGTGCTCTTCTGCCGACCTCGGTTGTAACGAGTGGTCATTTTGAGTTACTGTTGCCTCTCTATCAGCTGGAACCAATCTGGCCATTCTCTTCTGACCTTTGGCGTTAACCAGGCATTTGCACCCACAGAACTGCCGCTCACTGGATATTTTTTTTTTCAGACCATTCTCCGTAAACCCTAAAGATGGTTGTGTGTGAAAATCCCAGTAGACCAGCCCGTGCCCCGACAACCATGCCACATTCATAGACACTTAAATCAGCTTTCTTCCCCATTCTGATGCTTAATTTGAACTGCAGCAGAGCAGATCTTCTTCAGAGAGTTGCTGCCATGTGATTGGTTAATTAGAAATTTGCATTAATGAGCAGTTGGACAAGTGTACCTAATAAAGTGTACCTAATAAAGTGGCTAGTGAGTGTATTTGAAAAAGTACGAATGCATTTAAGGGAACACCTCTAATGCAACACAGGAGCATGCACCCTATACTGACACTGAGAAGAAGAAACTTGTGTACAGTTTTGATTGAACTATTGAAGGCATGTGGACTGTTTTGAGGATATTTTTGATGCGTTGGTTTCTGGACAAGTCAGGACCCTTGCTGTCTATGAAAGGTCAGAGAGCTATCTGATTTCATTCAAAATATCTTAATTTGTGTTCTGAAGATGAACGTTTTTGGGTGAACGAACACTTTAATGATGTGTTATGCGTGTAGTGCTGTGTTACTAATGTTCTCTTGTGTTCAGATGCCTGCGATCTCACTCTGGATCCAAACACCGCACACACTTGTCTCATTCTGTCCGAGGGAAACAGAAAGGCAACATGTGGGGAAGATGTTCAGCTGTATGCTGATCATCCAGATAGATTTGATGGGTGTCCTCAGGTTCTGTGCAGAGAGAGTCTGTCTGGACGCTGTTACTGGGAGGCTGAATGGGTTGGAAATGCCATCATATCAGCCACATATAAAGGAATCAGAAGGAAAGGTGAGAGTTGTGCCTGTGAATTTGGATACAACAAAAACTCCTGGAGTCTGATCTGCTTAAATGAGAGATTCACTGTCTGGCATGATCTTCATTCAAGTGACGTTCGTGTCCCTTCAGACTTCTGTAATAGATTAGGAGTGTATGTGGACGAGGCGGCCGGCTCTCTGACCTTCTACAGTGCGTCTAAAACGCACACGCTCACACACTTGCACACATTCAGCAACACATTCACCGAACCACTCTATGCTGGATTTACAGTTTTTCATTCGCTGTCTCTGATCTGACTTGAGAACACTGAGAGGAAAAGCATCCTTTGGGAGCGCAGATGGTCAAGACAGTTCTGGAGGTAATAATAATAATACTGAACCACGTTAATGACAGACTTTGGCTGAGGCACTGCAAGAAAAAAAACAACAACATTTCAGATGTTTTATAAAGTTCTCTGTTCTTTGGTTTGTCCATCACACCCGTTTTTGTTATCACACGATCTGTTCAAACAAATCACATCACTTTCGATTTCAGTTTTTTTTGTAAATGTGTTTCCATCATAGTTTAGGTTCACTCAGGCAGACTATGTGAAAAAGAAGGTTGACAGCGTCCAATATCGCCTACTATTCAGTAGGTACTGCATTTCAATTTGAATGTACTACTCGACTGATAGAGAGGTACGTTCTTTACAGTACGAATGTTAGCATGAAAGGCACTCGGATGTACTACATACGCCATTTTGTCATGATCATGTGACTGACTTGCGTTCAGTTCACTCCCATTCATGAATTCTCTCGTGGTGCATCATAGGATAGCATAGCGTCCAACTGATGCGCACTTCAGAATCTCGCTGGAAGATTATCCGTGTACTTCTCCCATACTGATTCTCGAATTCTATCAATTCAGACATACTACTTGGCTCGCATACTGTTTTTAGCATACTTTATAGTATGGAAGTAAGCAAGTGGTGCTTATTAAACAGCAGGAATAACAGCGTTTCCTTGGTTACTCCTGTAACAAATGTGCTACACTGGAAATTGATATGAATTACACAGAGATCTTCTTATCGCCAAGACGCGTGAACGTTTTGATTAACACGCTTCATTCACACGTCAAATTCACTTCACAATAGATGTGGATGCTCGGCATTAGCAGGGCTTCAGTCTACCCGGTGACAATAGCTTCGTTGCTAAACAGCTATTATGGATTTTATTCAGATAGTAGCTGTGCTTTATGTACTTTAGGAAGGCTGAAAAACAGCGTAGATTCGTTTGGCGCCATGTCTGAGTCCACTAAATTGACTGTGCTGAGCCCAGTTTGATAAACTGTTTTTCAGTGTCGGCAAGAGGATTTCCCCTTTGGACACCAACAACAGGCGTTACATCATAATCATGCCCCCTATAAGAGCAAGCTCCTGATTGGTTAACACAGCGAAAATGTTCAATGAAGTTCAGATCTTCCAACTCGCGGGATACGCGCGTCAAATGCCAAAACACTCAACTCGCTCTGCTTTATTCGCATGAATCTCGTCATTCGTGCCACCTCATTCACGCGAATACCACTGCAGGATGTCTGTCCACATCTTTGCATTGACTCAGTATGTAAATCACTCTCGCTTGATGCTTCATTCGCATTTAGTGTGAACACAGCATAGTAGTCGGTTAATGGGACAAATAAAATTGGCCCAAAATAGAGGATATCCCAGCCAGTATGGGACAGTTAGCAACCCTATCCATATGTCTTGTGTCCATCAGTTATTTCATGCCATTTGTCATGTTATTTCATTCATAAGTGTGTATGTAAAGTTTCAGCTCAAAATACAACATAAATTACGTTTTATAATGCTGTGTTCACACCAGACGCGGAACGCGTGGATAAATCGCGCTATTCACGTGTAAACAGATGCTTGAACATTTTAAGTTTAGTCGCTTCATTCGCACGTCAAATCTGCAATGGATCAGAGCAATTGACGCAGATTTGCGTGATGGACAGGGCTTCTGTCTGCCCGATGACTCTAGCTTCGTTGCTAAATGGCTAACATGGAATTTATAGAGAGAATAGCTATGTTTATGTGCTTTATGGAGGCTGAAAAACAGCGTCAATTCGTTTGGAGCTGTGTCTGAGTCCACTAGATCTAGCTCTGTGAGCTCATAGACTTCTCCAGAAACTTAACCTGGAGGATGAAGGCTTTCAGCGGTGCTTTCGACTGAGCCGAGCCCAGTTTGTCCAACTCTTGTCGGTGTTGGCAGGAAGATTCCCCCCCCCCGAGACACCAACAACAGGTTATAATGACGCCCCCACAAAAGCAAGATCCTGATTGTAAGCTCCTGATTAACGGTTCGAATGTTCACTGAAGTTCAGATTTTCCTACTCAAGCATTTTGCGGCGAAACGCGTGTTAAGTACGCCAATAGCACAAAACGCTCAACTGGCGCCGCTTTATTCGCGCCATTCTCGCTGCCTCATTCGTGCATATCGCACTGCAGGATGTCTTCACACTGACTTAACATGGAAATCACTCGCGCTTGACGCTTCTTCTGCCTCTATTGTGAAGGCAGCACAACTCTTTGAAACTCTGATTGTAATTGTGCCATTTTGGTCACTGTCGCTTTAAATTCAAATGAGATTGTGCACTCTCTTCAAAAAGGGGTGGAGCTGCAAATTCCTATGTGTCAGCATAGTGGCTAATGTTCTATCCTAATGAGGGAGAGATGGTCACTAGTGGGCGGGGCTTTTCCCCTCTGATGACATTTACAAATTAGAATGTCAAAGTGTTTCTGCAGACAAAAATATCATTACGTTTTCACCATTAGAAGCTGGTTATATTCATAGACTGTTGCTACACAACTGTGTTTAAACCCTTCATAAAAGTGATTTTTGCATAATAGGTGCCTTTTATCAAAACGTCCTTAGGATTCAATTCTGCTTCTGCTTCTAATATTTGGTGTTTCAGTAAATTGTAATGAGAATAAATATTTT